CAATTTTGACGTCGATTTGTCGGAGCGGACGCTGTTTGACGGCTGCGATGCAGATGAGGATCTAAACCGACGTGTGCCGTCCGATGGGCGCGAATGTCTGGTCGTAGTCCACGAGGTGAGTTTGCTCGAAGCCCCGTACCACCCATCGCGCTTTATACTTGTCATTTGAGCCCTCAGCGAGCGTTTTAATCCGGCAGACCCATTAGCCGCTGAGAATTTTCCTCCCCTTTGCGGATGATCGGGGAACGAGCTTCCAAGTCTCGCAGCGCTTTTGTGCTTCTGCTTCTGCTGCCATGGCTGCCTTTTATTTCTCGCTGTCGGGCCCAGAGAGGGCTTGGTGCACGGTGGTGGGTTCCTTGGGTGAATTATGGCGAACTGCGAGGGATGCAGAGACCGGGTTCGTTGGTGTCTGTGTAGGCGAAGCGATCATAATCATGTGCGCTGGTAACGTCGACAACGTCGTCGTTGCTGTAGTGGCCGTTTCAGATGGTGTATTGCGAGGGGTTCGCTGGTGGTAACTCGGCATCCGGTTCTTGACGTGCTGTGCTATTGTAGTTGTGGGCTTCACGAGTTGTATCGTCTGGATCAAATTGGGAAAGTATGAAGGTTGGAGTCTGGAATGTGCGTGTAAGGGGGTTTTGGGGAAGGGGGTCGTATGGCGTGACGTCTTTGTCGGATGCCATAGGCTCGCCTTCTTGCCACCCCTTTGTTCGCTGATTATCCTGTCAGAACATTGTAGCTTATACATATTGTGTAGGCTATAGTGGGGTATCCCATAGGGGGTACAACCCAATTAGGGTAAGTACTTGTACCCACTTGTTTCATAGTTCATCTATTTGCGTTTCTTCTCATATCTTGCCTTCTATTCTACTGCTCACGTCCCCCTTATTATGTTGTATTCTCCTCCTTCCCCTCTCAAGCAGTCCTGCATTGATATGGCTTATAAGGTAGAGGCATTGCAAGGGCACAGCCTAACAACTGTGGCTAACCAACCCCTAACTAGCCAAACGATACAATCAAATAGCAGAACAAGCAAGCCCACTGCCTACTAGGTCCCCTTCGTTGCTGCAGCCTTCCACCAGTCTTCCTTGTCGCCACCTTTCGTACCGCCGCTGCGTCCTATGTGGCCCCCTTTCCGCTTCCTCTCCTTTTCCCCCCCATCCTCTCACCCTCCCAGGTCCCACTCCACCTCCACCTCGTCCTCCAAGACCTGCCAAAGGCCCCCCAGGCTCGGCTCCCACGGGTCAGCCGCAGCCTGTGGATACGCTGCCTCTGCCGCTTTGTTAGACTTAGCTAGCAGGGCGTTGGCCTGGCAGCGTGGGAGCATTACCGACCACCGCTGTCGGTACTGTGCTGTGAGCCTAGAGGCTACTGTTGTTAGCTTTCCTTGGCGGTGTTTCGTCTTCGCCGCACTCATCCCAAGGATGCGGAAGAATTTATGTGTGTCTCGGGCCAGTCCCCCATACGTTTCAACCGCTAGCCCGAGAAATCCGGCAAATTGTGGGCACTTTTCATACAGCCCCCTCTTTGTCCGCGTCGCGTCCTCTGCCAAGGCAGGGGTCTCTCTCTCTCTCTCTCTCTCTCTCTCTCTCTCTCTCTCTCTGTGTCTCTCTCTCTCTCTCTCTCTCTCTCTCTCTCTCTCTCTCTCTCTCTCTCTCTCTCAAGCAGTCATGCATTTATATGGGTCATAAAAGGTACAGGCATGGCAAGTGGTGGTAACTACCTTGACTAAACATGGAAGCAACCTAGAAACCAGAACTAACAGATAAACAGAGCAAGCCTGCCCAGCTGAAGCATACAGATCCCCTAGCACTCAGAGCAGCCCGGTCCACAGCAGCGCAGGTACCTGAGTACCCCACATTCCACCTATCCCTTATTCCTCATATACCCTAGGACCACACCTTATCCCTCTTCCCCCCCGCAGCTTCCTCACACCTTCCCTGAGGCGCCCTCCCCGACCCAGCACAACACCCCCTGCTTCTTACCGCACCCATGTACCCCTCCCCTGCCGCCACCCCTCCTCCCGTCATCAACTTCCTACCTTCCCAGCCCCCTCAACCCCTCAGGCCGCCCTGGTAGGGGCGTGTCTCTCTTCGTACTCGTCCTCCAGGGTCTGCCATAGGTCACCTAGCCGAGGTGCCCAAGGGTCCGCCGCTGCCTGTGGGAAAGCCGCTTCCGCTGCTCGGTTTGACCTTGACAGGAGGGAGATCGCTTGGCTGCGCTGGAGCACCACGGACCACCGTTGCCTGAAGTGTGCATTGAGGCGGGCGGCGGTCGTCGTGAGGCGTCCCTTCCTGTATTTCGTCCTGGCGGCAGAGGTGGCTAGCATGCGGATGAACTGTTGCGTGTCCTTAGCCAGAGCACCGTATGTCTCTACCGCTAGCCCAAAGAAGCCGGCATAGCTAGGGCGGCCCTCGTAGAGCCTGTGCTTACCCTCGGAGGCCTCCTCTGCTGCCCACCCCGGCGGCTTCCTGGCTCTCTTATCCCGCTTCTGCAGAACGGGGTCTGTAACTGTGACATCGGTTACCCACGTCTCCCCCGACTCCTGGTCCCGAATGGCCAGGTCTGCTCGCTTCCGGAGGACCGGGGGAGAGAATGCCGTGGTCTCATGGAACGTCTTGTAACCTGCATCCTTGGCCATTCGGAGTGTTGCAAAGACCAGAGCGTTGTGGGTCCTTACAACGTCACCACCATCCCCACACCGCAGGAGGTGGTTGGGGAGGCTCTTGTCGGAGATGGTTGAGTTATCCCGCTTGCAAGGGCACACCTCGGCGACCGGCAGCTCCATGCCCAAACGCAGGCTGAGGGCCATCGAGAATTGACCAGGGGATATGCTAAGGTCTCCTCTCGTTGGCATGGCATGGAGCCAGTCACCTGCACCCACCCCCTTTAGGCTGATGAGGCGGATGGCATGACCCCTGTCCTCCCCCGGCCGGTCCTGTAGGGTGTCCGCTAGTAGCTCCAAGGCCCGCCGCTGGTTGATAGACTTCGACAGCCCTAGCTGCAGGTTCCCTGTGCCTGGACTCCCCTCCCTGTACTGCTTCAGTGTTGCTCGGGCTTCAGCGGGGAGCGAACCTTCCATAGTGGCTCTGGGGTTGGACTCTGGTGGCGGTGGGACCCAATCGTGGGAGAGGAGCTGAGTCGCTCGGCTCAGGAGGCAGTCAGTTGGCAGGTCCAATTGCCTCAGTAGGGTGTGTGCTGCCGCGACTGAGGCCAGGTAGGCAGCGGGTGCTTCAGAGATAGGGTCAATCACTCCGAGGCCACGTAGGCGGATAGGCAGTGTTCCCTGACGCCACAGCAGGCTCTGTTCAAGCTCAGAGGAGGGGATCCGAAGTTTCGCCGCAGTGAGTGCCGAGCCCAGGAGAGCCTTGCTCCACTCCCTCCACTCTCGCGTGCTTAGTGTTGATGCCGGAGTCGTTCGAAGCATATATGAGATCCGCCGAGAGATGCTGCGCGAGACCATGAGAAGCGCATGCTGCGGGTTTAGTTGCGAGATGAGGAGGAGTGGCGACGCTGCTTCTCCCAGTGCCGACCGCACGTGGTCAGTGCAGAAGCCCTCGTTCCCCACTGGACTGCCCAGCTCTCTGATTCCTCCCTGGTTCATGATCAGCCCGAGTGGCAGCTCCTCCTGCTGCCCGCCCGTGTTCCGTCCCCACGCTGATGATTTGTTTATGTTGCAGCGCAGTCCCACCGCTTTCAGAGCCGAGGCGATCGTGTTGAAGGCGGTGCAGGCAGCCTCCCGTGGGCCGACGATCGTGATGTCGTCTGCGTAGGCAACAATCGCCACCTCTGGCAGTGTATTGGCCACGCTTAGCAGGGCTGGCTGGATCGCAGCTGCGAACAGAAGCGGGCCGAGCGGATCTCCCTGGCGGACTCCGCGGGAGCTCAAGATGTGGTTTGTGCCGAAGCGTTGGTCGACTAGTAGCCGCGACGGGCCATCGTAGAGGTTTCGGACCAGGGGGAGGAGTGGGCTAAGGGCGGACCACTGAAGGGCTTCAAAAAATGCTTTGCGTTCAACGCTGTTGAACGCATTCTCTACGTCTAGCTGCAGCGCAATCCGTGCCTCGTCTTCCTGAAGTAGCGCTCTGACGGAGTGGATAATACACCCCGCTCCCCCCGGGATAGCCACTCCGAACTGGACCGGAAGAAAGAACTCTCTGATCTTAGGGCCGAGCGGGTGAAGAGCCGCTTTCGCTACTACACGGAGTAATGTTTCACCAATCGCGATAGGCCTGACCCCACCTCTTGGTTTCGCTAAGGCTATCAGGCGTGAGGATAGGATGAGGTCGCGCAGCTCCTGGGACTGGAATGTGCTAAGGAGTGTGTTGACTGTCCTAGCGAGTAGGATTAAGATCTCCTCGTTGGCTAGAGCTAGGTCCCTCAGGTGCTCGAAACATGTTCCAGAGGGCCCCCCACCCACTCCATTCGGGCATTTCGCCAGGATTTCGCGGAGGGCGTCAACCGGGACGGCGAGTTCAGAAGTTGCTATTCCTGTTACCCAGGCCGGGATGTCGTCTTCGGCAGGTGGGTGTTTCGCCTGGAGTGCAGCGAGGGTTGACCAACTGGGCTCAGCGAGTGGGCTGGAGCGTAACGCAGCAACTGCCTTCGAGATGTTCCCCTTCTTCATTAATCCTTCGGCGCGTGCACAAACCCCTTCGTCGTCAGGTTGGTGTCGTAACGGGGCGTCTGTATCGGGGACGGTTCCGGCTTCCTCGAAAAGGTCATCCCAATTCCCTTGCTGAAATTGATGTAGCCGAGCCTCAATTCGAGCCCAGCGACTCCCAGCAACGGGTTCGGGAGAGGGTCGGAGTGTAAGCCTCGGTAGGAACAGCAGGATCTTCCACGCATCAAGGCACGTAGGGTTTTTTTCCAGCCTCAGGAGAGGTGCCAGCAAACAGAGGCAGTATTTGTCCAGGATTTGTGGGGGCAGGCGGCGGACAAGGAAAGGCTGGTCCCCTCGTTGCAGTTGCTTCATATCCCACCCCCCAGCTCCCTGCCAGATGGACTCTTCCGTCGCCATGTCAGAGGGCGAGAAGACATCTGTCGCCTCAGTTTCTCCTGCTGTATCTCCCACCGCCCGTTGGTTTTGTCCAATCCCGTTCGGCCCTCGTCCTCGCGAGTTTGGGGCATTCCTGGCCACCCCAGTTTCCTCTTCCAGTGACACCTCCTCAGAGTCAGCTTCTTCACCACACATAAACTCTGGGTCGCCGGCGTTATCTTTAGAGCCTGCTGGCTGTCCCTCATGTGTTGGTACTTCCACCGCTTCTGGCCTATCGTGGCGTTCCCGCCAGGTGCCAGTACGCGCGGGGATCTCAGATCCCCCCACCAGTGCCCTTCCCCCTCGTCCTCCGCGCGCTCCCCGTGCACCGACCCCCCGCTGAGTCCGCCCCCCGCCTGTTGGCGCTCTCGTCCCCTCGCCCATCGCTCCACGTCCCGCTGGTAACCACGGTGTCCGGCCTCCCCAGGGCGGTCCCCAGGTTATTGCCGTTCGTCGCGTCGCGCGGCGGGTGTTGTTCGCGACGACGTTCGTTGTGTTGGGCGCCACAGCATGCGCTGTCGTCGCTGGTGTCGCGTTGAGTGCAGGAGCACCCCGGGTGATTCCTGGCTAGCGGCTTCCAGAATCGGCCACCTCGCGCACCTCCTGCTGGTTCGACGATGACGACTCATGCGCTCGCTCTGATGGCGATTGCCCTTGCAGAAGCCAGCCCAGGAGGGGTCCCGGGGAGCCAGGTCCCAGCCCTGCTCCGGGCCGTCTCGGCGCTGGCTGGGCCCGCAGCCTTGTCTTCGACCTCGCACGTGCAGCGTCGGAAGAAGCGTCGCTTGCGGGTCCCGGAGCCTCTCCCTCCGCCTGGCCGTGCTCCTGCCTGCTTGCGGCCACGACAGCAACAGGCGTTCCGGCGCAAGCCGCGGCAGTCGTCGCGCCTTCCTCCGCCGGGGCGTCGCCGTGTTCCCCAATCGCCGCGGACACCGCCGCCGCCAGTGCCGCCGCCGTTACCGGCGCAGGCGACGCAGACAACGCCACCTCAGCAAACTGCTCAGGGGCCGCGCCCGGCCTCATCTCCTCAGCCTCTGCCTGTGCAGCCCGAGGGGTGGCAGCGGGTGAAGCTGAGCCGCCGTCAACGGCAGTGGCAGAACCGCCGGCAGGCGTAGGGTCTGCCGCGGTCCCCACTACAGGCCCGTCAGCATCAGCTACCACAGGCTTCCCTGTCGCAGCTGCCGACACAATCTCCGCTTCGTCGTTTTCCCCTACCACTCCGTCCGCATCAGCTGCGTCCCTCGGTGTCACATGCTCCCACGTCGCCGCTCCTGCCCGCTCAGAACACCCAGGCAGTACCGTCTCCGCCGTCGTTCCATCGGTACTTGTATGGCAGCCCCCCTGTGCAGCGCCCATGGCAGCCAGTGAAACCTCCCGTACCACCTCCTCCTCCTGCCGTGGTGCCTGGTGGGCCCCCGACTCTCGTCGAGCAACGCGTGATGCACGTGGGGACTTGCTTGACACTCCTGTCGTATGTGCTCGACCAGCTTCAAGTGTCCTTGGTGCAGCAGGAGGTGCAGATCGGGGCGATGCAGCCAGCAGAGCAAACGGCGGCGGTGGCGGCAGCGGAGGAGTTGAAGCATTACCTCCCGCTGATTGGCTTTGTACCGGGCTCCCCCGGAGCTGCCCTTGGGCCCGGTCCTGGTGCTTTGGCACGGCTTGCCGAGTCTGCCCAGGAGGACCCGCTCGACCTTGTAGCCGCTGCCGCATCCGTCCTGCGCTGGTTGGACGGGCGGCTTTGCTGGGTCCTGGTTGAGTAGGGGGTTGCTTCCCCTTGCCAGCCCCCTGTGAGGCAGGCCTGGCCTTGGGCTTCCCCATGGCGGTGTAGGCACGCCCGGGGGTGGTGCATTTGTTGTAGGAAGCTACCCCTGCATGTTGTATCACTTGCTGCTATAGTCCCTGCTGTCCTTGTTCCTTGCCTCACCTCACGCCGGTTTTGGAGAGTAAACTGAACTCACCAGTGAAGAATGAGCTCAGAAGGGAGCATCTAGGGACTATATACTAGGGTACTAGGCTGAAAAACGGCCAAGGACTGGATCCTACACTAGAGAGGGCTGGGAAAACGGCTAAGGACTAGTCCTAAACCATCTCTCTCTCTCTCTCTCTCTCTCTCTCTCTCTCTCTCTCTCTCTCTCTCTCTCTCTCTCTCTCTCTCTCTCTCTCTAATGGTCCTTGTATTGATGTGGCAGCCAGGTACAAGCATGCAAGGTATAGAAGCGTACACACAAAAGCAAGTCCTACCCTATACCCCCCCTAGAGATCTAGGAGGGGCTCTATCACTGCAAAACAATCTCCAAGGTGCAACTCCTGCCCAATGCCGCCCACAGGCGGGTTCTCAGCTGCAGCCGCCTCGCCCATCTTCATCAGGAGGCCCACGGATTGTGCCCTTTGAAGGGCCACCGACCATCTCTGTCAAAACTGATGTAGAAACTTTGCGGCGTAGTATGATTTTGAGTCGGCGTTGAAGTGCCGCCGAGCCGCCGTGTCTGCCAAAAGCTTCAGGAAGGTTGGTACTTCCGCGCATGGGCAGCCATAGGTGTCGACTGCCAGTGGGAAAAAGCCAACCGTCTTCGGCCGGTTGGCGTAATGCTGGATCTTCTTATCAGCTTGTTCCCGTGCCGCCCATCCCCTGCCTTTCTGCGCCTCTGGGTCCCTCGTGCTTATGGGATCCGTGATAGTGACATCGCATACATACACCGCCCCACTGCTTCGATCCGTCATGGTAAAGTCGGCAGTTTGCTCCTCGATGGGGCAATGGGCGGCCGTCTCACTGTGGACAATGAAGCATGCGTGCTGCGCCATGCTAATGCATGCATCACGCAGCTCGTTATGGCTGTTAATGCGGTGTTTGCCCAAGCCGCAGCGCAGGAGATGGTTCGGCAGGCGGGGGTCGGTGATAGCCGTTTTGTCCGCGCAGTCACAATTCTTAGGAGTCGAGAAGGGGAGAGCCAGGCGGAATTTGACGGAGTTGGCGAAGTGTACGGGGCCAATACGCCTAGTCGCTTCAATGGGTATCGCGGTTAGCCAATCGCCGGCGCCGTATCCCGTCAGCGAGAACATGCGCTGAGTGTGGCCTGAGAGTGGGTTCAGCCGCATGCGCCTAGTTGCCTGGACCTGCACGGCGTATCTGCTGCCGTGCACCTGCAGCCCGAGGACGTGTTGAAGACGTATGTCCGATCGCTCCAACCGCTCCTTTTCCAGTATCTCACGAGCGTCTGTCGGCAGTGCCTCCTCACACCCCTTCACCCAAACGTGAAGAGGCGTGCTGGTATCCCGCGGCAGGAGCATGTGGTCCCGTGCCTGCTTCAGTGCATTCCCGTCGCCCAGCGTGAGGTCGTTGAGAAACAGCGCCGCCTGGGTGAAGCTCGCGGCGAAGCCGTAGACCCCCTCAATCAAGGGGTTCGTAATGCCTAGCCCCCCTAAAGACGGAGGCAGTGACGCCTGCTCCCAAACCCTCGTCTGCTCCGATTGGCAGGTCGGCATAAGGATGTCGCAGGCGGTAAGGAGCGTGGTGAGGAGGTCCATGCCCCACTGGCTCCATTTGTCGCGGGGAAGAAGATTGAGGGGCGTCGTCCATGTCAGGTACGCAACACGCCTCGATATACATCGCGTGATAAGCAGTGATGCGACCTGGGGATCTGTTCGTTCGATGAGCATCAGCGGCTTCGTCATATCAGCTAACTGCTCCGCCAGAAAAGAAGCCGCGCCGTCGTCCGGTCCCAGAAAACTGCCCAGTAGCTGGACGCCGTCGTTTGAAAAAGGCACTCCTGGGGGTAGGTGCGGTGCTTGTACCGTACAAGAGCTCCACGCAGCACATTTTTGGGGGTTGTGCTCGAGCCGCAGGGGTGACAATTTGTTGGTGAAGTACGAAAATGCCACTACAGTGTCTGCTTATTCCCCGATGAACGTCACGTCATCCGCATACGCCAAACAGAGCACCTCGGGGTGTGTGTCTGCCGTATCGCAAAGTGTGGCATATATTCCTGCTGCAAATAGCAGCGGGCCAAGTGGGTCCCCCTGGCGGACACCGCGTTCGCTTCGCAGTGGTTCGGACTCGAAGTTTGCATCTAGGAGCAGCTGCGACGGGTTACCGTATGTGAACTTGACGAGCGGTAGGAGCGGCGAGAGGGCGGGGGTCTGTAACGCGGTGGCGATGGCTTGTCGCGAGATGCTGTTGAATGCGTTCCTGATGTCAGCTTGCAGTACGAGGCTGTCGGGGCGGGCGTCCAAGAAGGCCCTGGCCGCGTGGATCACAGTCTCGGCGCCACCTGGCACTGCCACGCCGTACTGTAGAGGGAGGAAAAAGTCGCGAGCTGCCTCCCCCATTGCTAACAGGGCTGCCTTGGCTGCCAGCCTCGTCAAGCATTCGCCAATCGCGATTGGCCGAGCGCCACCCCCCGGTTTGGCCAAGGCGATGAGGCGCGACGCGGTTAACAAATTCGCCACCGAGTCTGGCAAATTTCCTCCCAAAATTGTATTAACCAGGGCGTGCAGATGGGTGCTGACCAGTGCATTTGTGATCGCCGAGTCGCGCAAATGCTCGAATGTCATCCCCGACGGCCCAGCCCCAACTCCATTTTCGCATCTGCCCAACAGCTTTGCGAAATCCGCGTGAGCGATTGAAAGCGTTGACTTCTCAGGTGTCGACCAGATCACCCCCTCGTCAACAGCTGGTGGGTGCTTCTGGCGCAGTTCCTCCAGGATTTCGGGGCTGGGCGTGCAGACAGGCGTTCACTCCAATGCAAGAACGGCTCGTCGTAGGCTGCCACGTTTCGCCAGCCCCTCGGCCTGTTTGATTACTCCTGTCACGTCTGGCCTATGCCGGGGCGAGGGTGGCGCGTTGACTGCAGCAATCGCGTCCTTGTACAGTTGCTCCCATTCGCCACGTTGGAAGGCTCGCAGCCGGGCCTTGACTTTCGGCCAGTCCGGTCGTTGCGGCGAGGTTTGGCGAAGGGTCAGGCGCGGGAGAAACAGCAGCAGACGCGACAGCGAGGGCTGACGACTGTCGCACAAGGCCGCAACATCCCAATCCCCAATCGCAGCGAACAGGTCGTTTCGCTTCGCTAATTCCTCAGACGAAAAATAGCGGGGGGCCGAAGCGGCCGGTCGTGATGCAGCCCCCCTACTCGCGGCCCGATTTTGTCGAGGGCGACTCGGTCCCGCTGGTGAGGCAAATGTTGGAGGCTCTACCGTCCGATCAGCATCGTGCGGCGTGCGTGCCTCTTGGAGCGAATGTGCTCGTGCTGTCCTGGCCCCGGCTTCTCTTCTCCCAGAGCTCTCCCTTCCCCCGTCTCCTTCCTCCTCCCCTTCATCCCCGCTATCCGGCGTGGCATCTCTCCTATAAGAGGGGTCCCTTCGCTCGTCCTCTTCATTAGCTGATTGTACGTTAATTAAAGCCACACGTGCCGCCGCTTGGTATCCGTTCTCTGGACCCCCGCCAACTCTGCTTCCTGCTACGTGGTTCGTCCCGCGATCTCCTCGCGTTCGAGATGGTGGTGATTGCTGGAGTTGATGAGCCGTTGCCAGAGCGCGCTGTCGCCTGGTCGGCTGTCGTCGCCAGGCCTCAGTCGGGACTTGAAAAGGGGACCACGGCGACGAAACCCCTTCTACCGCCTGCTCCGAACGCCGGGACAACAATCTCTGAAAGGACTCCTCCACACGCACCCGTGGCTCCGCAAGGCGTGGCAGAGGCTGGCCCATCTGCTCATGTTGAACATCCTCCCGCTCCGCCTGTGGCTCCCGTGCCCCCTGCTCCCGGGGAAGCGGCGGAGGCGTCTGTGTCTGCTGGGGGGGCTGCTGCACGTCCTGCCCCTGCGCTTGGCGCGTTGGTTGTACCGGCCGCGTCTGTCCCCGACGTGCGCGTGCCGGCGTCTGCTTCTTCCCCAAGGGCGGCGTCCGCCACCACTGTCGACCCGGCTCCCTTGGTTGCTCCTCCTGGCGCGGAATCGGCGGCTCCCACTCAACTGCAGGCGGCCCTTGCAGTGCAGCCGTCTCGTCCCCCGTCGCCAAACCGCCGCCAATCCCGCCCTCAATCTCCCGCGCCTCAAACGGAGCACGAGACGTCGCGGCGCCGGCGCAACTCCCCCCGGCGCTATCAGCAATAGGCCCAGTGGCCTGCTCATACTGGCGGCAATGGTGACTGGAGGGGTTTCCCCGGGCGTGGTGGTCGCGGGAGGTATCGTCCGCCTGTGACGATGGCGGATCTTCAGCGGGAGGTGTCCCGGGCCGTTCGCGAGGAGAGGGCGGCGCAGAGCCAGAGCAGTTCGCCGCAAGCTGCGTCGGCGCACTTGGCTCCTCGCCCATCAGTGCCTCCTGTGGTTCCTCCGGCGGCTGCTCCGCTTCCTTCCCCTGTCCTCGTCCCGTCAGCCCCCTATCCTTCTGAGGCTAGGGGAGGCTTGAAAGGCTAAGTCACTAGGTGCTTCTCTCTCTCTCTCTCTCCTCTCTCTCCCGCTCGGTTAGGAGAGAAACTTAACCAAAAACTGAATAATGAAGAGGCCACAAGGCCTGCTGAGGCCTTTATACTAGGACTAGCCCTAAACCATCTCTCTCTCTCTCTCTCTCTCTCTCTCTCTCTCTCTCTCTCTCTCTCTCTCTCTCTCTCTCTCTCTCTCTCTCTCTCTCTCTCTCTCTAATGGTCCTTGTATTGATATGGCAGCCAGGTACAAGCATGCAAGGTATAGAAGCATACACACAAAGGCATGTCCTACCCTATATCCCCCCTAAAGGTCTAGGAGGGGCTCTATCACCGCAAAACAGTCTC